TTTTTCTGGTACCAGGGATTGAACTCACAACCTTGTGCTTGCTGGTCAGGCGCTATGCTGCTGAGGTAAATCCCCAGCCCCTAGAATATATTTGTATGGAATGTTTTTTTTTGGGCATTGTATTTGGTGGGTGGAGGACGGTATATTAGTATGAATGTAAATGGGAAAAAGGTTCTCACTGGGACTTGCATAAAACATGAAATTTTTTTTTTTTCCCTGGTATTGGGAATCAAACTTACCACCTCGCTCTTGCCAGGCAGGCGCTGTGCTGCTGAGCTAAATCCCCAGGCCTGAAATTTTTTTCTAAATTTTTTTTGTCTTTTTGAGACAGGGTTTCACTATGTGGTTCAGGCTGGTCTTGAACTCACTTTGTAGCCAAGGCTGGGAGGCTGGGAGGCTGGGAGGCTGGGAGGCTGGGAGGCTGGGAGGCTGGGAGGCTGGTCTCGAACCCACAATGATCCTCCTGCCTCAGCCTCCTGAGTGCTGGGATTATAGGCATGCACCACCATGCCTGGCTGAATTTTTTTTACACAGGGTCTCACTGTGTAGTTTAGGCTGGCTTTAAGCTCTGTATAGTTCAGGCTGGCCTCACACTTGCGGGGACCCTCTTCCCTCAGCTTCCCGAATACTGGGATTACAGGTGTACACCCATCCTGTTTTCTGCATTTTATATTAGCAATATGTGGGAGTACCTGTTTCTCCTTACACCCTCATCTTTGGTCTTTTTTTTTTTTACCCCCTTCAATATTGGGAATTGGACCTAGCACCTTCCTGGTGAGCTACAGTTCCTATCCCTTTTTTATTTTTTTATTTTTACTTTTATTTATTTTTGTCTTTTTGAGACAGTCTCGCTATACAGTTCAGGCTGGCCTTGAGGTCACTTTGTAGGCTGGTCTCGAACTCTAAACTGTCCTGCCTCAGCCTTCTGAGTGCTGGGATTACAGGTGTGCACCACCATTGCCCAGCCTCTGATATGTGCTTCTTAAGAAAATCTCCTGAGCAGTGATTTGAGGTGGAGCTGAGGCAGGGATAGTGCTGGGAACAACTGCTAATAAAGTTTTATTTTTGATTTTTGTCTTTTTTGAGACAGAGTCTCACTGTGCAGTTCAAGCTGGCCTTGAGCTCAGTTTGTAGCCCAGGCTGGTCTGGACCTCAGTGATCCTTCTGCCTCAGCCTCCCGAGTGCTGGGATTACAGTGGTGCACCATCACGCCTGGCTTGAAGTTGTTTTTTTGTTGTTTGTTTTGTTTTTTTGAGATGAGCTTTCACCCTGCAGTTAGGCTGGTCGTGAACTCACTATGTAACCCAGGCTGGCCTCCAGCCTGACCTGCCTCAGCCTCCTAAGTGCTGGGAATGCACTGCCATGCCCAGCAAGATTAACAATAGTGTAGAGGTTTGACTGCACAGAGACCATAAGTTAGCTGCTTGCATACTCACATCAAGAACCAGGACCACTGTCTTCCTTCTTGTATGGTGGCCCGCCCTCATGCTGTAGGGCAGTGATGGCAAGCTTTTTAGAGCTTTCAGTGATTAAAATCAGCCCACTGCAGCACATACGCCATATGTTTGGCACCACTGTACTTCTTTTCCTACTTTTTTTTTTTCTACTTTTATACATGGCTGAAACTCACTTTTGAGCCTATTTATTTTCCTTCTTTTAGTAACACTTTGCTGCTGTTAAAAGGAAAGAAAAATTAAAAAGACCCTGTCACCGAGTGGTAAGAGGTGACAAGGTGAATCTGGTGGCAGGCTTTATACTGGCAAATGAGTTGATGTACTTAAGTTTAAAAAATTTTGTTAGGGCTAGGGATATAGCTCAGTGGTGCAAGCACCTGCCTGGCAAGTGCAAGGTCCTGAGTTTGATTTCTGGTACCAAAAAAAATTTCTTTATTAATACATGTTTCTGGTACATAATGATTACATTCATTGTGCGGAATTAGTACATGTATATAAGACATCTTAGTTCTTTTTTACTTCCCTTCCCATACATTTCCCATCCCTCCATCTCAGGATCCCTTCCCATTTGTAAAACATCTGTCTCACTATTGTCTCTTATTTTGTTCTTTATACTTCGTGTTTCTCGTGTAAGGAAAACAATATAATACTTAAGCTTGTGTGTCTGATTTATTTCACTTAACATTTTTGTCTCAAGGTGCATCCATTTTCCTACAAATGACTGAAATTTATCCTTTGTAACAGAGTCATACTCCATGTATATAAGTACCATATTTTTAAATTTATTTGTTGATGGACATATAGACTGCTTCTTCGATTTAGCTATTCTACCACGTGTGGCAGGAGGAACGCTGCAAGTTCAAGACCAGCCTGGGCTACAAAGTGAGCTCAAGGCTAGCCTGAACTGCATAGTAAATCTTGTCTCAAAAAGCCACACACACACACACACACACACACACACACATACACACACACACACAATTTAGCCGTTATGAGTTGTGCAGGTATAAACATGGTTATGCATGTTTTACTGAAAGATGTCTTTAACTCTTTCTGGAAGATAACCTAGAAGGGGAACAGCTAGAATTTCTAGCTTGGCATAGTCATTGTGCACACCTGTAATCCCAGCATTTTTGAGGCTGAGGCAGGAAGATCACTGAGTTTCAGGTCAGCCTGGGCTACATAGTTCTAGGCCAGCCTGTACTACACAGCAAGACCCTGTTCCCCCAAAAAGAAAAGGAATTTCTAGTTTTAGTTTTTTGAGGTACCTCCATACTGATTGGTCTAGTTTACATTCCAGCACCAACAATGTAGAAGGCTTCTTTTCCCCTGCAGCTTCTCCAGCATTTGTTATTAATTTGATTTCTTGATGATAGCCTTTTTTTCTAAAGCAAGATGGAATCTCAGTTTTTTTAAGACAGGATCTCACTATGTAGCACAGGCTGGCCTTGAACTCACAGTGGTGAGATCAGAGGCGTGAACCACCGTACCCAGCCGCATAGCTTCATAGTTTTAAATGTAATAATGAGTTAACTTTTTTTTTCCAAGTCCTGGGAATGAACCCAGAGAGTGTGAGGCTGTGTCCCCAGGCCTTTTTTTTTTTTTTTTTTTTAAATCTTGATTGGTGTTTATTTTATTAAGACAGGGTCTTGTTACACAGTCCATGCTATCCTTGAACTTTAGTCCTCCGCCTCTTAGGTGCTAGGATTGCTGACATACACCATCATGCCTGGCTTTTGTTTTATTTTGAGACAGGGTTGTTCAGGCTGCTTTGAACTTGGATCTTCCTGTCCTAGCCTTCCCAGTAGCTGGGAGGAGAGGCAAACGCTACCACACCCAGCTCTTTAACATTTTAAAAATACTGTATCAGATACATGTAGGCCAGATGGGGCATGAACATTAGTTTATTATTTTTGTTGTGATCCAGTAATTTAAATGAGTGTGCTTCCAAAACTAGCAGTATGAATGTCAACTGGGAAGTTGTTAGAAATGTACATTCCTCAACTTTATCCCAGACCTATTGAATCAGAAACTAGTTATGTGTGACTTGCTCTGTTTTAAACAAGTTCTTCAAGAGATTGAATCATTTTGTTATACTCCTTTACTTCAGGCCAATTTCTCTTTGTCTAGGTAATGGCTGAGTGAGAATGGAAGTAAATTTGTCACGGCTGAGTGGTTTGTGTTATTTAATAGTGTCTTTATTGCTTTCCTTGTTTCTAATTTTGTTCATGTGAAACTATGTTTTGTACTATATTCTGGTTTATATAGAAAGCAAATTTGATCATTATTACATTTTCAGTAACTTTTTTTTATGAGATCGGGTGCGTTCAGGGTGGTATGGCCTGTCCTTTTTTTTTTTTTTTTTTTTTTTTTTTGGAGGACAGGGTCTTGCTACGCTGTTTGGGTTGGCCTTGAATTCACTCTACAGCCCAGGCTGGCCTTACACTCACAGCAATCCTGCCTCAGCCTCCCAACTGCTGGAGGGGAGTAATTCTTGACTATATTAAAAATTAAAGCGATAGGTTAGCATCACAATGAAATGATCTGGCTGGCTGGCTGCCTATGCTCCTGTCTATATTTTTTTTGTCTGTATATTTTTAAATTAATTTTATTCATATACTTTTGGTATACATGATCACATTTATCCTCGATTCTTTTATTTCCCCCATTCCTCTCCCTTCCTTTTAATCCCTCTTCCCTTAAAGGTTTGTTTCCATTTTTTCCTTCCATTCTGATTTTTTTCCTTTTCCCTTCCTTCCCTTCTTCCTCCTCTTTTGTTCTCTTTCTCATTTGAACTTTTTTTTTTTTTTTTTTTTTTTTGGTCTTTTTGAGACAGAGTCTCGCTATGCAGTTCAGGCTGGCCTTGAGCTCACTTTGTAGCCCAGTCTGGTCTCGAACTCGCGACGATCCTTCTGCTTCAGCCTCCCAAGTACTGAGATTATGGGCATGCGCCACCATGCCCGGCTTGAACATTTTTTTCCTGCTCCCCAATATCTATCATCCGTTTTGATCCATATTTATACTTTTGGCTTCTCATACAAGAGAAATGTGCCTTGATTCATTTCACTTAAAAGTGTGGTCTAGGGGCTGGGGATTTAGCTCAGTGGCAAAAGCGCCTGCTTGGCAAGCGCAAGGTTGTGAGTTCGGTTCCTGGTACCGGAGAAAAATCAAAAAACCAAAAAACCAAACAAACAAACAAAAAAAAGTGTGGTCTTCTTGAGCCAGGTGTGGTAGCTCATGCCCATTATTCCAGTACTTGAGAAACTGAAGCAGGATTGCTGGGAGTTCAAGGCCAGCCTCAACTACATAGTGAGACCCTGTCTCAAAAAATAAACAGCAGGCTGGGGATATAGCTCAGTGGCACTGTGCCTGCCTGTCCAGCATGAGGTCCTGAGTTCAGTTCCCAGTTCCAGAAAAACCCAAACAAAAGGAACTGTGGGTTGTCTCTTCACTCTGTTGGTTTCTTTTGGTATGCATGTTCCTGTCTACTTTGATATGGGAACTGGGAGAAGGTAAGTCACAAAGATAAAATTGTCCAGTTCCTTAAATTTTATGTTTCATTTTGTTTTTTGTCTTTTTGAGAGAGGGTCTCGCTGTGAAGTTCAGGCTGGCCTTGAGCTCACTTTGTAGCCCAGGCTGGTCTCAAACTGGCAATGATCTTCCTGCCTCAGCCTCCAGAGTGCTGGAACTACATGCATACGCCACCATGCCCCATTGTTCTTGAAATTTACATTACAGTAATGAAGGATTTTCCAAAGTAGGGAGAAATTAAGCTTTAATAATATTACAGATATTGCACTCTGACAGTTGCCTTATTTGTGACCCAGTCTGTCCTGTAGAAGTAGCACTCTGTGAGAGGCTGAGTCAGGACAGCCTTGAGTTTGGGCCTAGGCTAGGCAATTGAGCAACATCTGTCTCCAAGTAATTAGAAAGGCCTGGGATATAATTCAGTATGAAGATTGTGGGTTCAGTCCCCAGTGCCACTACCAAGAAAAGTCCAAAAACAAAAAAGCAGCTTTTACAAAATGGATTGTATTTCTTTCTTTTCTTGAGAGGGGGTTTTGCTGTGTAGTTCAGGCTAGCCGCTTTGTAGCCAGGCTGGCCTCGAATTTGCAGCAATCCTCCTGCCTCAACCTCCTGAGTGCTGGGATTACAGGCTATAGGTGTGTGCCACTGTGCCCGGCTATTTTTTTTTTTAATACAGAATCTTGCCATGTAGTTCAGGCTGGCCTTGAACTTACTATGTACTACATGCTGTCCTTTGTATCTTTTTTTTCCCCTTTTCTCTTTTTGAGACAGGGTCTCCCAATGCAGTTCAGGCTGTCCTTGAGCTCACTTTGTAGCCTAGGTTGGCCTGGAGCTCACAAGGTGGTTCTTGCCTTAGCCTTCCCAGTGCTGGGATTATAGGCATGCCCCACCACACCCTGCAGTTAGCCCTTTTGAGGCTTTCTTTTTTTTTGAGGCTTGCTTTTAAATGTCATTAGCCAAGTGTGACATAGTTTTTATTGTAAATTTGGTTCCAGTGGTAAGGTAGTACTTTCCTGAGGACTGTATTTAATGCTCATGAACTGTTCTAGAGCTTTTTTTTTTTTGGAGACAGGGTCTTGCAATACAGTTCGGGCTGGCCTGGAACTTGCAGCCATTCTCTTGCCTCACCATCTGGAATGCTAGGATTACAGGCATGCACCACATTACACCTTGTTCTCAGTGACTAAATGTAAAAGTTGCTGGTGATTTTCTACTGTAGAGTTTTGAGTGGGTAGTTAATATAAGTAAATCAGTAATAATTGGTCTATGTTTGGGGTTTAATAAATAATATCTCTTTATTCCTTTATGTTTTTCTGAATTTTACTTTGCTCTCAGCCTTAAAAATTGCCTCCATTTTTAATATTTCCTTCATTTTTCATTTACAGAATTGAAGATGCTCCTGCTCCTTCTACCTCTTCAGATAAAGTGGAAAGGTAAGATTATTTACATGGCACAGATTCATATAAACTAAACTAAGCAATATGACATATGCGGCTGGTTTCATCTTACCGTTTTGTGGTGCTGAGGTTTGGTTGTTTTGTTTTTTTTGTCTTCTTTGGTTTTTTGGCCTTTTTGAGATAGGGTCTCACTGTGTAGTTCAGGCTGGCCTTGAACTCACTTTGGAGCCCCGGCTGGCCTCGTGCTTGCAGCCATCTCCTGCCTCAGACTCTGTTTTGTCTTTTTGAAATGGAGTTTTTTCTGCCTGGCAAGCGCGAGGTCGTGAGTTCGATTCCTGGTACCGGAAGAAAACAAAAAGCAAACAAACAAAGAGACAGTTTTTCTATGTAGTTCAGGCTGGCTTTGAATTCACTTTGTATCACAGGCTGGCCTGGAACCTGTGGTGATCCTCCTGCCTCATTGTCCTCATTGCTGGGATTAGAGACATGTGCCACCGTGCCCAGCTTCACTTTATTTTAGAGAGGGTCTTGCTAAGTTGCCCAGATTAGGTAGGAATTGTGATCTTCTGGTCTCAACCTCTGAGTACTGAGGTTATAGGAAAGTACCACCACATCTGGCTTATGATTTTTTTTTTTCTTTCATTTTTATTTATTTTATCATTATAAACGTTCTTAGGAAATAATTTTCTGACAAATACTTGAATTGCTAAAATTTACACTTTTCAAATTATTTTTATCGTTCCATTTTTTTTTAGTATATATGCTGCTGAAGCGAGCACCCAAATTATTTTTATTAGTACATGTTTACAGTCATGATTACATTCGTTGTGGGGAGTTGATATGTGTACATAATACGCTTCCCCTTGGCTCCTTATTTGCTTGTAATTTATATGATAGAGTGCTAGAAAATATGTCTAGGTGTTTTGTTTGTTTTCTTCTTTTGAGATGCCATGTAGCTCAGGCTTGCACTCCTCCTGCTTTAGCCTCCCAAGTGCTGGGATTACAGGCATGTGCCACCACAAGGGGTCTGTCTTCAGGTTTTTTTGTATTAAAATATGAGAATTAAAACTGACTTAGTTCTGTTGCTCAGTCATGCTCACCAAATTCTGTTGACAACTTTTTCTTAACATAATTGTAAACATTCAATACCAGTACACCTTTTGCTTTTACTGGATGATTTTACTATAATTAACTTTTTTTCTTATTGTTTTATTTAACTTTTTTTTTTTTTTTGGTCTTTTTGAGACAGGGACTTGCTACGTAGTTTAGGCTGGCCTTGAGTGCTGGGATTGCAGGTGTCCGCCACCACACCCAGCTTAACTTTTTTTTTCAAGTGAATAAGCAATAGGAAATTTGCTAATATTGCATCATAAATCTGTACTGAGATATTTTCTCTTTTTGGATATCTGTCTGTGCTTTTATTCAACAGTACTCAAAATTGTGTTATTTATGTAATTCCTTTTTTTTTTTTTTTTTTTTTAAAGTACCGGGAATTGAACTCAGGACTTTGTGCTTGCTAAGCAGGCGCTTGTGCCACTGAGCTATACCCCTGGCCTATGTATTTATTTCTTAAATTTTTTTTTTTTTTTTTTAATTTCTTAAATTTTTGTGGTGCTCAGGTCTAGCCTAAGGTTCTACCACTGATCTACATCCTTAGGCCTAAAAGATTTTTTCTTGTATTCCTATGGGAAATACGCAAGACCTCTCCAGGGATCCATTGAGATTGTATTTTTGTCATGAGACTGCTTTTTTGCTGTGTTGACCATTGCTACTAATTTTGCAAAAGCAAAGAGGGGTAAATCTGCTGTTTTAGTTACCTTTGTCGTTGCTGAGACAAAATACCTGACATCCAAAGTTAAATGGAGGAGAGGTTTATTTGGCTTATAGTTTGTATAGGTGTTAGTTCATTGGCTGGCTCCAATGCATGATGGCATGATAGAGAGGCATCACAGAGGAGAAACAGTTCATTACATGCAGAAGGCAGCAAGTGACAAGCTATAAGTGAGTGACAAGCAGAGATACTCTTTCTGTCCCTTATATCTTATCCAGGCTGCCTGCCTTAGAGTGGATAGCACTCACAACCTTAATCCTAGCATTGCACCTTAACTCAGTCCTAGCAGTATACAGCCTAGACCCAGCCACCTCTATATAGCCCCATCCAGGGCCGGGCGTGGTGACGCATGCCTGTAATCGCAGCACTTGGGAGGCTGAGGCAGGAGGATTGTTGTGAGTTTGAGACCAGCCTGGGCTACAAAGTGAGCTCAAGGCCAACCTGAACTGCATAGCAAGACCCTGCCTCAAAAAGACCAAAAATAAAAAAAAAAGAAAGCCCCATCTATGATCACATGAGGCTTTGGGGGAACATCCAGACACAAGCCATAAAGCCTGCTGATGTCCCTTAACATGTATGAAGTAGCACCAAATACTAGTAGCAGCTTTTGTGTTCCTTTTTTTGTTTTTGGCAGTACTAAGGATTGAGCCTAGAGTTTACATGGGTTACATGCTAGGCTGGTGTTCTACATTCCAGACTCTTTTTTTAGGCCCAGTCTTGGTAAGTTGTGATTAGGCTGTCCTTGAAGTTGTGATACTTTTGCTTCACCCTCCTAAGTAGCTGGATCACAGGCATGTACCACCATTTCTGGCACACATACTTTGTCCAAAATGAATAAAGTAAGTGAGTCATTTTAAGGGAGTCTACCAACAGTACCCATTTCCAGTAATAGAATTTGAACTCTTAGTGAAAATTAAGAGGTTTTTTGGGGGGGTTCTTTTCTGTCTTTTTGAGACAGGGTTGGTCTCGCTGTGCAGTTGAGGCTGGCTTTGAGCTCACTTTGTATCCCAGACTGGTCTTAAACTTGGAAGGACCCTGCTGCCTCAGCCTCCCAAGTGCTGTGATTACAGGTGTGTGCCACCACGCCCAGCCAAAAATTAAGTTTTGGGAAAGTTACATAAGTTACATTGATCATTCTGAGATTGACAGCATCCTATCTAATGCTCTAAAACTGAGTGAAGCTGGACATGCCTGTGAGAGTGCATGTCTGTAATCTCAGCATTTGGGAGGCTGAGGCAAGTTCATGAGTTCAAGGCAAGTCTGGACTACATATGCCGTCTTAAAAAAACCATAGTCGTCTGGTGAAATTTGAGACGGTTTGTAAAGTATTGTAGGAGTGAGGCCTTCTCTCTGGAGGCAGAGGCAGGAGTCTTAGTTGGCCCACAGGAGTTTGAGGCCTATTGGGCCACATAGTTGTACCACAGTGCTTTTCATCTTATTGAAATCAAAATTTTTGTGATAGACAACTGCTTTCAAAGTGAAAAAAATTATTTTTTAAATTTTTATTTATTTAGTTTTTGGAAAAAACTTAAAGCTGGATGTGGTGGTGCACGCCTGTAATCCCTGTAACCCCAGCCCTCGGGGGAGGCTGAAACTCAAAAAGAAAAAAAAAAGAGAGAAGAAATTTAGTAAGAAGAGTGGCACTATTATGTACTTTCTTTCTTTCTGTCTGTCTGTCTTTTTGAGGCAGTTTCACTGTGCTGTTCAGGCTGGTCTTGAACTCACTTGGTAGACCAGGTTGGCCTCCAACTCGCAGCGATCCTTCTGCCTCAGCCTCCCAAGTGCTGGGATTACAAGTGTGTGCCACCCATCGCACCCTGCTAGTTTTAGTTTTTTGGGGAATCTCCATACTGATTTCCGTAGTGGTTATATTAGTTTACACTCCCACCAACAATTCAAAAGGCCTGGTCTTTTTGTTGGTAAATGGTATTCTATAAGTAGGTATATCATAGTTTATCTATTTGGATTAATACCTAGGAATGGAATGCCTGGAAATATGGTAAATGTATAATCTAACTTTAAGGAATTCCCAAACTATTTTCTAAAGTGATTTTTCCATTTTACATTTCTGGCAGTGGTGCGTGCAAATTCCAGTTGCTCTTTTCTTGCCAGCCCTTGATATGGTCAGTCTGTTTTTGTTCTTTTTTGAGAGAGTTTTGTTGTGTAGTTCAGACTAGTCTTGAATTTACTATGTTGCTCAGGCTGTGGTGATCCTCTTGCCTCAGCCTCCTGAATGCTAGGATTACAAGTGTGTGCCACCATGCCTGGCCTCTGCTTGCCTTTGTTTTTGCCCGTGCCACATTGTCTTAATGTTGAGATGACTTCTTGTTGTCCTATTTACCTGTTACTTAATTTTTTTTTTAGCTCATACAGCTTGTATAAATAATGGGTCCTCCATTTATTACTTGGTTAGCAACTATTTGTAGTAACGTGAAGTAGAAACTTTGTTCATGAAGTAGATAAAACTTCAAAATATTCTGGTAAAGCTTCTGAGAATATTGTCTTTGAGATTTGGTTTTGCAGTGGCAAAATAATGTGAGTTAGCTAGATCATGCCTATGGTAGTCCCAAAGTTTAAAGAAGTTAAATTATTATGATTTAAAGGTACCAGGTGTTTAACAGATATTGATTTAAACAGTGTTTGATCTAAAATAAAATCTTTTTTGCAGTCTGGATGTGGATAATGAAGCTAAGAAGCTGTTAGGGTTAGGACAGAAACATCTGGTGATGGGGGATATTCCAGCAGCTGTCAATGCATTCCAGGAAGCAGCTAGTCTCCTGTAAGTACCATGTTTTATTATGCTATTATGTTCCCAGTACACTTACAAAGAGTTGTTTTAAGCTGGGTGTGGTGGTGCATACCTGTAATCCCAGTACTCTGGAAGCTGAGGCAGGAGGGTTGCTGTGAATTTGAGGTCTGCCTGGGCTACACAGTGAGCTCAAAGCTAGTCTGAACTACATTTGTTTTTTGGAGAACTACCTGTCTCCAAAAAAAAAAAGAATTGTTTTAGCATAAAGCCCAAAAGAAACAAAACACTGCTCTATGGCAGAAAGAATGAAGAACAACGACTGGTAGAGTCCTTGCCCTGCATATATGAGGCCCTGGGTTTGATCCATAGCACTGCAATAAAAAACAAACCCAAAAAACTTAGTTTTTTTTTATATAGGAGTTTATTCCTGTAATTATAAAATCACTAAGCAAATTCAACCTTCGATTTTTCTGAATAAGATAATTTGTATTCTGTGCCAGAATTGGTGGCACATGCCTGTAATCCCAGCACTGAGTAGGCTGAGGCAGGAGGATCGTTGTAAGTTCCAGGCCAGCTTGAGCTCCAAAGTGAGCTCAAGGCCAGTCTGAACTGTGTAGCAAGACCCTGTCTCAAAAAGACAAAACAAAAACATAATTTGTATTGTAATCCTCATTATTTATTTACTTATTTATTTTTGTCTTTTTTGAGACAGGGTCTCACTATGCAGTTCAGGCTGGCCTTGAGCTCACTTTGGAGCCCAAGCTGATCTCAAATTTGCAACGATCCTCCTGCCTCAGCCTGAGTGCTGGGATTACAGGCGTACGCCACCCGACCCCACCGGCCTAATCACCATTAATTAGAGGAGTCAGCTTGTCTTGATTTATTCAGTGCTTTCCAGGGATTGGACCCAGGGCCTTGCATATGCTTGGCAAATACTCCACCACTGAACTATACCCCCCACCCCCACTTTTTTCCCATCTTCACTTTTTAAAAAAATTTTGACCCAAGGTCTCAGTTGCCTAGGTTAGCCTTGGAATCTTTTTTCTGCAGTACTCCTGAGTAGCTAGGGTTAAAGGTATCTGCCACAGTGCCTAGTTATGTTTTCTCCTGTGCAGTGCTGGGATGGAACCCAGGGCTTTACACATGCTAGGCAGGTGCTTTACTGCTAATCCAGTGAGCCTTTACCAATTTTAACACTGGAAGTTCCATGTCTGGGGAAATGGCTCAGTTCCAAGCAAATCATGATAATTGGTCACCCTATATTAATGCTATTATTGGCATAGTATTTTTCAAACGTTAGTGCCTTTGTTATCTGCTGTTGAAATTGGTTGTAAGTTGATAGCTACCACAAGGTGTCCGTAACTATACCTTGGAGGCACAGTTTAGCTTGAGTGCCTTAAAGATTTATTTTCACATAGACTCTGTGGTGCTGTGGATTGAACACAGGGTCTTCTGCGTGCTACACAAGTACTATGCCATAAATTCCCATCCTTCTCCAAAGACTGTTTCTTCAAATTTGAGATAGAAGAAAGTAAGTTAAATCTTTAAGCAAGCAATAGCTTTGCTATGTACAACTTCTTCTGAGCTAGCTTCATGTAAGACAGTATTATCAGTCATAACTGAAGGCCACTCATGTTTCCTAATTAGTTGATTACATTTCATTCAGTTTACAAAAGAGAATTTATAATTAAGCATTTATGGATTTCAGGTTTGAAGCGCACCTTTTCTTTACCTCAACTCCTTGCCCCAACATCCAGGAACAGTTTATTATTCCGGGATATTCATAATAATCTGTCATCACCGGGTGTGGTGGTACATGCCCGTAACCCCAGCACTTGGGAGGCTGAGGCAGGAGGATGATGCAAGTTTGAGACCAGCCTGGACTACAAAGTGAGCTCAAGGCCAGCCTGAACTGCATAGCAAGACCCTGTCTCAAAAAGACAAAAAAAAAAAAACCAAAACCAAAAACATAATAATTTGTCATCTAGCTCCTGACCACCGGCCTCCTTTTGCATCTCCACCTGCGCTAATTGAACTGGGGCTTTAATATTAAAGGGTGTGTGGGGGTGGAGGCCGAATTTTATCTGATGAGAAGTATTTAGATGTTTTGTTGTAAAAAATGAGTTAAGATTAAGCAAAAATAAAAACTAAGTCCTAGATATTTTTTTTTTTGTCTTTTTGAGACTTACTATGCAGTTCAGGCTGGCCTTGAGCTCACTTTGTAGCCCAGGATGGTCTCGAACTAGCAACGATCCTCTTGCCTCAGCCTCCCAAGTGCTGGGATTACAGGTGTGTGCCACCATGCCTGGTCTAAGTCCTAGATTCTTAAACAGGTCAGTACACTGTATTCCTGTTGCCCTACCATAAAGGGAAATCTAAAGGAAAATTCAAGGTACACTTTTGTAATATAGTAGACTACACCTTCACCACATTACTTCCTGCTTTTAGTTTCTGTTGTTACTGTCATTGCACTTTGAAGGGATTAATCAGTCTCACTGAATCTGGCAACTCTTTTATTCCCTAAAAGCCGGTCCTTTCCATTAGAGAAGTACAGTGCCTCTTCCTTTTCATTATTAATCGTACTTTCTTTTTTTTGTCTTTTTGAGATGGGGTCTTGCTAGGTCAGCTCACAGTTCAGGCTGGCCATGCACTCACTTTGTAGCCTACGCTGGTCTCGAACTCCAAACGATCCTCCTGCCTCAGCCTTTGGAGTGCTAGGATTCTAGCCGTGTGCCATCATGCCTGGCCATTCCATTAATCACACTTGTCTTTTGTTGGATTGTTTGTCTTTTGAGACAGGGTGTCACTATGCAGTTGAGGCTGGCCTTAAACTCATGTAGCCTAAGGCTGGCCTGCTTGCAGTGACCCTTCTGCTTCAGCCTCTCCCCAGTGCTAGGATTATAGGTATGTGGCAAGCCATTAATCACACTTGTATGATTTCTTCCCCCTCTTCTCTGCATATTGATCGCTAAAAGTTAAATATAGTGCCACCTATGTTTATAAGCTTTTGTTTTGGCTTTTTTTTTTTTTCCTCTTGAGACAGGGTCTCGAAGTGCAGGTCAGGCTGGTCTGGAACTCACAACAATCCTCTTGCCTCAGGCTACTGAGTGCTGAGATTACAGGAGTGCCCCACCACGCCAGGCTGACTTTGTTTTTTGAAACAGGATCTTGTTATGAAGACTGGGCTTGAACTCAGGAGCCTTCTGCATCAGCCTCCTGAGTTCTAAACATTAATTTATCTTTTTAAAAAATTTTTACTTTTTAAGGTGATGTAAAGGAAAACAAAAAAGAATCTGTAATAAAGATTGTATGTAGGCTTCAAGTAATTGCTATGTGTCT